ACAATTTAGGTAGCATGTCCCAATTGTCTAGAATCTTACTAGTGGGCAAATTATTGCTTTCCAGATGTGTTGGCCTACCATTCACACCCATGTTCATTACTGGCTATGCTAGTCATGGAGTGGCAGGCCAAAAGCAACACAGAGGGCCATGAAGTATCATAATGGTTGAGAGTGCAGGACTGGGACTCAGGCGATCCGGGTTCTAGTCCCCACTCAGCCATGGAGTCCACTGGGTGGCTTTGGGCCAGTCAGACTCTCAGCCCAGCCTACCTCACAGGGTTGTTGCTGTTGTGGGGATAAGATTGAGAGCAGGAGGAGAATGATATAAGCTGCTTTGAGTTCTTTGTAAGAAAAAAGGCAGGATATAACTCTAATTAATAATAATAATAACCACAACAATAATAAAGTGCCTACCCCTGGGCTAGATAGTCCCATCAGCAACTGCCACCACGATCACCGTTGAAGCCGCAGTTTCCAAATGAGATAAATAATGGGGGTAAAAAAGCGGGGTGGAATTGGCACAAGGTGGGATGAAGAAAGGACAGCGCGGGGATCTGACAGTGATGGGGAAAGGCCATCCTTGCCATACCACGAGATGAAGTGCACTGTTTCAAGCAGCATCAAGTAAGAGGACAGATGAAGGCAGGAACCGGTGTCAGAAGCATGCAGGAAAACGCTTAGAAACGCTGATGGGGCAGTGTGTTTGAGCCATGCTTCAGGCAGCCAAAGAGGGATGAGAGGTTTTTAGTCTAGTGAAGGCATCCACAACCTCCAGGGCCTGCAGCAGCCGCCTTGCCCCCTGGGAACCCACTGAGAAAAATATCCTGGGGCTGGTGGGGCAGAAGTGAAGAGAAGACAGGATGGGAGCGAATAGGAGGACTTGGAGCACCCATGAAATGTCATGACCCTTTAGCTGATGCTACACACCTGCACATTCCAATGCACAGCTCTTGCACGAAGAGCTCTTATGTATACAGTTGATGGCACCACTGTGCTGTGTGTCATTGGTATGGGGAACCAGCAGGGAAATCTAGCCCATGAGGATACCCCCTCTGTCCTGTGAGCTGCTTGAGCAGCTCCTGTCCCCTCTCTCCATAAGAGAGAGGGAAAAGCTCTTATTTCTGGTTCAGCAGCTGACTGGAGATCAGAGTTCTTCTTTTCTCAACACTAAAAAATAGATCCTTTCTCCCCATGCTGCTCTTATATTTGATCTGATGCTGTGGTTTCCCTTGCTCGCGTGTGTGACGTAGAGGGGACCTTAAGGATTGGGACCTTCTATTTGCTCACACTGTGCATTGAAAACCATGTTTCAGAAACCAGAAAGTGATAGCTTAGGCCAGTGAGGACTCATAGCTCACATGCACTGGGTCACACCAGTTGTTAAAGCTGAAACCAGCCACCAGAAGTATAACAAACAGTGGCGCTTGTTTGTTTGTTTTTAGATTTATATGCCACCCACTAATATTAGAGGAGTCTTTAGGCAGCTTACAGTCAGAAATCAATATTACACTAAACCACTAAAAATAAAACCAGAGCAATATAACACTAGGTTATTAAAATTATATGCTACACACACCCTTCTGTGACTATTGCAATGCCCATGATGTGTTTCATGCAGTTTTTGGCTTTGGACTTCAAGTACATGACATATTTTGCTGACAGGTGTTTGAAGAATGCTTTTGGTTTGGCAGGTGCCTTGTCTCTGGACTCCTTGATTTGGCAGGCTCTGAATTCCCTTTCCTTTGCTGAAATATCAAAAACTGAGAGAGAAAGAGAGAAAGAAAGATTTAGTGCAAGGGAGAGTAGGGAGCTCCATAGAGAATGAAGTATTGGATGCAAAGGAAATATAAGCAGTCTCTCCAGTCATTTTTGCTCTGATGTAGTTCTGGGTGGGATGCAGAGAATGAACTAACAGTCTGTAATCCTTGGCGCAGAAGGATCAGCAAGCCATGCATTTCCCTGTGTCAGCATTTCCTCTAGCAATAGACAGTGGTGTGCTTGATAGCACTGTGAACATGCTGAGGAAAGAGAATCACACAGCTGGGGAGGGAGGGGGAGGAAGGAAGGAAGACTCATACCATTTGGAAAAGTCTCATGTTTGATCTGAAATGATTTGGTTGTAATCCCATTGCAGTGGCAATAAGCTGCCAGGCTTGGAGGTTTACCATCTTCCAATGCAGGGAGGGAAATGCAGGGGCCTTCCCAGCATTACACCTTACACTTTGCATTTGACAGACTTTTGCCCATCTGGTGTGATCATCTTGGACAGGTAGGGAAAGCATCTGGAAAGTCTACTTCATATCCTGACCTCTCTGGTCTCTTCTTCCTCACCCACTTCTCTCCCTTCTCTGAGGTTACTTTTCTGACCTTGGCTGCTGTGCTTCTTTCCTCACTGGCTGTGAGTGGAGATGGGCTGCAGCTCCAGTTCCTAGTTCCAGGGCTGAAACACTGTCCAGGCTGAAACACTGTCTCTGATCTCTCATCTGCAAATCCAAACTATTCCACGGCGCCTCAGATGCTGTCTAGGAGTCCTAGGAGTGTCCTCTCATGCTCTGGGATGCTTTTATGGGCTACAGGGGCCAGAGCACACTAGACAGAGCACCTGGTTTGGATGCAGGTGCCCCAGGTTGAATCCTCAGCATCTCTGGGTAGGGCTGGGCATGACTGCTGCCTGAAACCCTGTAGCGCCACTGCCAGCCACTGTGAACGCTGCTGAGCTAACTGGATTGATGATCTGGCTTGAAGTAAGAGGGTGTCTTATATTCCAGTTGCAAAGTGGGGTGGGAAGGACTCCATCAGAGATGACTTACCCTGAAGTGGGCCCATGCTCTCTGCTGGGTCAGAGCCACCCATAGAAATATCTGGAGCAATATCATTCCAAGAAAGCCACTGTGAATGGCTGTCCCCACATATTCAGGTCACTTGCAGCAGGTGGGATTTTGCTGTGGTCAGCAGAAAAATACTTCCGATCAATGACTTAACATTCCAGCCTCGGTAACAATATGCGGAGCCAGTGTGGCATCGTGGTTAAGAGTGCTACTCGGAGACCTAAGTTCTAGTCCCTGTTCAGCCTGGAGCTCACTCACTTTGACTTTCACAGACTCTCAGCCCAAACTACCTCACCAGGTTGTTGTTATAAGAATAAGATTAGGAAGAGTAGACACCTTGAGTTCCTTAGAATGGAAAAAGGAAGGTTATAAACAAATAAATAAGACAAACTAAGTAACAAAATGGTGTGTGTGTGTGTGAGAGAGAGAGGGGGGGAGAGGCAGATGTTCATCATATAGCTCAAGCATTATCCTATGCCTAGCAGTTTTTTGCCTTTATGAATGTGGGCCTCTTCCATTGTGTCTAACTACCAACACATATCTTAGGACCTTTGTTTCAAGAATGGTTGGAGGCTGATCTGTTCTACCTATGAGAAGTGTATCTAGAGGGAAAGCTGGAAGCTGGTCAACCAGTGTTTTGCTTTGCTTTGCTTTGCTTTGCTTTGCTTTGCTTTGCTTTGCTTTGCTTTGCTGCAAAGTTGTGCCCAACCCATCACAACCCCATGGACAACATTCCTCCAGGCTCTCTTGTCCTCCACCATCCCTCAGAGTCCACCCAAGCTCACACCCACTGCCCCAGTGACTCCCTCTAGCCACCTCGTCCTCTGCCATCCCCTTCTCCTTTTGCCGTCATTTGTTCCCAGACTTCAAAAATAAAACAGACAGGCGCACTCCTTAGAGATTTTCCCCACTTGTCGTTACAACATACTTAGCAAGATCCTATAGTGCAAGAAGGGATACAATATAGAGAGAGTAGAAATGCATAGAGTCACTAAAGTTGGCTTTCTGTGCTCACCACTTACAGGGACACATTTTTGCATGCTTTGGCTCCCTACTTCCTTTTCCATTCCGGCTACTGCTTATTTTCTGCCCTTTGCCCACAGGGAGTGTTGCAGTTGGCCTGATGCTGCCTTGCAATAAATGTGCAAAGCCTAGACTCTTGCTAGAATCACAGCACTGAAAGGATCTGTTTAGTCATTGGGTCCAATGCCTGCTCATGCAGGAATCCAGTTTCAAATGTTTCGATAGAAAGCTTTCCAGTTCTTGCTTGAATACATCCATTGACAGAGAACCCAACACCATTGGTTTCTTGCATAGAGCTAGAACAGCTTGATATTTTATCCTCTCTTATGCTTCCCCGCTGTCAGTAGGGAACAGTGCAGACCACCATTTGTTTTACACACTTAAGAAAGTCATCACAGGATTAGTTTCTTAGTTTCATAACAGCTGCGCATAACACTGTTAGTGGTTAGCACTAGGAATTGCTCTACACTAGAGATCAGGAGTGGGCAACTTCAGAGACTACATGGTCCCCTTGAACACCCCCTCCATCGCTTGCTCGCTCTCTCCCCTGCTGCTGCTGCTGAATTCACCAGCGTGTTACGGTTAGAAAGGACTGCACCAAGGATAGTTGGGAACCACAGCCCTGGTGTAATTCGCAACAGTTCACACTACCAATAGTTGGACAAGAGCAAATAAAACTGCAAGACTGAAAAATGATCTCTCATTGCTTGCTTTCTGCTAACAGTTTATTTCCGTGTTCTCTTCCTGTAAAATATGTGGGTTAGATTAGGTCTGTAGGCCAAAGGCTTTGCATCCTTTGCTTAAAGCCACATGTCATACTTCTGTGGTTTCTTTGCTTCCCTCTCTCCCCGTTCTGTGCATTCAGCCCTTTCTAGGTTGGCTCTCAGATATGAATACAGCACTTTTGCAACAATATCAAGATGATTTATTTGCTGAACTCTTGGAGTAATAGTTGTGCCTTGTCCAAGGTCACCTGTGGCAGAACTGAAACGACTGGGAAAGAAATTCAGGGCTCCTGTTGCTCTTTGGACCGTATTTGTTCTAGCAACACCCATCTGAAACAGCCAAATATCCCCTCCCACTTATAAGCTCAGCCTGAAAGCCATGCCCAGCACAGAACACTAACTCTCTCCTCTGTTCCCCTTACAGGAAAGAAAGGCGTCCCTGCCTGCTTCCCCAACATGGACTCCACGGCAGCTGCGACGGCATACGAGCAGCTTAGACGGCTGGCTGAGCCCAGCGCCAACTCCAGAGCCTGAGGATGGGCTCATTGAAGCCTTTCGAGCCAGCAGTATCATGAGTTCTCCTCCCCCCATGTCTCCCTCCTGGAGTGAAAGGTCTCTGTCCCCATTTCGACAGGAGGCAGACCCCAAGTCCAGCCGGCAGATGCAGGCGCTCCTGGCCAGAAACATCATCAATGCTGCCCGGAGGAAGAGCACTTCTCCCAAAGCCACAGGGGTGGAGAGCTTCAGGCCTTTCACTCCCCCTGCCACTCCTGCTGACATGCCATCTTTGGGGGGCAGCCCCAAAAGTGTGGGTAACCATTCCCCAAGCCCACTGCAGTCGCCCAGACCCACAAGGGTGGATGGATACAGGCGTGTCTCCCTCCCCGTCTCCACGGCGCTGCCACAAGTCAGCGCTGCCTCAAGCAACAGCCCCAGGTTGCTGGGCAGCCAGTCCCCAACCTACAAAAGCCCGCTGCAGTCACCAAAAGCACTGCGGATGAACGGGAACAAATATTTCACCCTGCCTGCCAGTGCAGGGACCCCTCTCTCCAGTGCTGCAACAGCAGCATCCAGTAACGGCCCAAAAACAACAGGCACCCATTCTGCAAGCCACAGGGATCTGGCTCAGTCTCCAAAGCCAACCCTCCTGGAAAGCCATCGGGCCTTCAGCACGTCAGCAGGCCCCAGCCGGAAATCATGCACCAGTCCGAAGACTCTAGGCCCTTGTTCCCCATCCCCCAAGAGCCCTCTGCAGTCTCCTGTGATGGCCGTGCACTCTCCAGTAAAGCGCTACTCCTCCATGTCGCCCACTAATTCTGATGTATCCCTTGACTCTGAAGATTCAGGGATCAAGTCACCCAGCATCCGCAGCTTCAACATCTGTCCCCGAGGCTGGAACGGCAGCCTGCGGCTGAAGCGGGGGAGCCTTCCCACCTCTTAGATATGGGGTGACAGAGCCCTGAAGCCTGTTGCCAAGACTTTGACACATGTCTACAAGCACTTAATCCTGGCAACCTCGTGAGGCACAAGGAGGAAGGAGCTGAGTCTGCAGGGATCTTCCCGAGCCGCCTCTGCAAGCCTCCCACTTTCTGGAGACTTAAGACAGGGTAGAACAAAGTTGCCTTGGGGGACAAGACTTCTCGGGGCAGCGTTGCCTGAAGAGGATGGAAATGTGGCTGAGATTCTTCTTCCAACAGAACGGATCTCTGTAGGAACCCTTTTAGTGCCTTCCCCCTGTCATAGCATTTGTGTGTGTGTGAGTGTCTGGCTTTCACAGGCTTGGAGTTCTCTATCTCCGCTGGACTGGAGCCACCAGTGACTTCCTCTGCTCAGGGGAGATTAGTAAGGCTTTGACTGCTTTTGTTCTCGCTCTGAAATATCCTATGGGAGGAGAACAGTCACCCCCACCCCCCACCGCATAATCCCTGGCAGACTGTCAGTGAGCGAACAGGATGACAGACCTGTCAACTTGTGTCTGCCTTCCATTATAGTTGTTATTCTCCCCACACACACAGTCTGATGGGGCCACAAGTCAGGCCTGCCTCCATGCCAGTTGCCTGAGGGAACAAGCAGAGAGTGAAAAACAATCACAGAGGAGCCCACTCAGCAGTCTGTGTGATTTAGTGTTGCCCCCAGAAAGAAGGGCTGGTTTTATATCAATCTGACAAACTCAAAGAAGAGCGCCTCGGGGCCTTTCTCTCTCTCAGTTCCTGGAGTGGAGACATCCCAAGCCACAGAAGAATGAGAGCAGAGCTGAAGAATCCTGTCAACTACTCAGGGCAGGGGGTGCGAGGGAGGTGCCCCTTCTCTGCCATGCCCAGAAGAGGAAATGCGCCACATGGAGGACCAAAAAGCCACGGGAAGTGGCAGGCCCTGCTCCTCCAGCTCCCCTGCAAACACTGCCAGAGCCTTCCCATCGGGGACTGTGATGCAGTGATGCCCACATGCTGCCCAAACATTGCGGGAGCCAAGGAAGGCACAGCAATGAGCACACATGCCCAGCACGTGCTCTTGCATGACATCAAACACCCCCTGCTGTCAGCCGCAGTGGCACAGCCAGCCACGGCGGTGGTACAGTCCAGACATGGGAAGCCACCTTACAATGCTCTCAAGCACTGCTTCGGAGCCCGGTATGTGGAGGCAAGCAAGGAAGAGGCGTCTGGCAGAGCTCTCTGCGCTCACCACACTGTGGGCGATGGGTTCATGGCCTGCGCAGAGATGGGAAGATCCTTTTGCGAAGCAGCCACAGAGAGAAGCTGCTGCAGAAAACAGGTTGACAGAAGCATTGCCCATGCACCGTTCCCTCAGGCGCAGCAGCCAGCAGGAATCAGATGCGTCATGGGGCAGTGGTCCCCATGCCATGGGCCCTTCGGTGCGCCAGCTGCCCCGTGCAGAGTCCCATCCTAAGGCCGTTCCCGTGGGAAGCAGGGCAGAGGAGCACGTTGTAAAGTCCTAGCCTTTACTGATCAGCATCTGGGGTGGAGGAGTCCCTGAAAGGAATAAATCCAGTGCCTGTGAGTATATGTACCCCTTCCTCTTGGGGGTTGCAGTGGCACTTGGTATGTTTGTGCGACAACAGCATGATCTGCTCCCTGTGTCCTGGCAGTGATTCCTCAAGGCAAAAGTGCTGACAAGCGTTTTGTGAGCTCCGGCAATGGTTGGCACGGTGTGTCTGACTGTCTCCCATGGACAGATGGCCCAAGTGTGGTGACACATTCCCCCCCTCGCATCATGTGTGGGAGACGCTACTCCTTCTCTTGGTGTTTGTGGGGAGAGCAAAAGGGGACCAATTTAGACAAAACACATTATTCACTCATGGCAAGAGTGGGGAGAAAGACATGGGAAACCGTAGCAGTCCAGCTTTGTAGTATGGTTACCCCCTTTCCTTGCTAGCAAATGTACAAGCTTGTTGAGGTTCCCTATTTCCCCCTTGAAGCTTGGTTTGCCTTGTGTGTGTACCCAAATTAAAACAAATTTATTACTGGGCAGCAAAAACCGCAGTTTTAGAAGTGTACACCCCAAATGCAGACTTGTCCTCCATTCAGTAAAGCTGGAAAGATGCAATTATTTTGAAGAACAAGCTCACGAGTTTAGAAACATGCAAACATTTTGCAAGCTCAAGTGAAGTTAAGGTCCATCCCTGCCGCTTGCTTACCGCTGCTGAGTGCTCTGCCTCCCTGACAGCGCCAGTCACTGGAGCAGATCAGGGCTTTGCCCCCCGGGGCGCCAAAGCAGAGAAACTGAACCCATGCGCTCAAGTTCCTGGGCGAGCTCTAGAGTCAGGCTGTTTTGTGCAAGGGGGACTCTTTTTCCCTGCAAAGACCCCTTGCCCTCTTGCTCTTCTCACAGGGGTCCCCCACCCCTGTGCTTCACCATCGTTTCCAGAAAGAGGGCTCATAGTGTGAGCTAGGAAGGCACTGTGCAGCACTTCTGTCCTTTCTTAACGGATTCCCCGCGATGACTGAAGGGATGTAGGAAGTGGCGGGAAAACATGGGAAGGGGATGAGAGGAAGATGATGCTGCTTGCTTCCCACCCTGTCCCCCCAGTAAAATTCCATCATGATGGTGATGGCGGGATAAGAGCCTCATCTGGAAGCGCCCCGATTGTGCATTGCATAGAGCTAGAGAGACATAAGTCTATGTCACAAAACCCCTCAGCTTAGATGCAGTTTCCCCTCATGGGCTTCTCTACGTGTGATGGGGAGCTGTGACTGAGGACTGCGTTATGCCACACCCAACCCTCCATCACGGTGACAAGGGCAGGGAAGCCACTGGTGAAGCCAAAGCTATTTTTCATGGGAGAGCAATGCCTTGTGCTCAGTCAGAGGCTGGTTTCGTGTTGCATCGTCGAGGGGCCGTGGCCATTGTCCTGCCCACGGCTCGGGCCTGTTATAGCCTTTCCGCCGGCAGATCTTCACTGGCAATCAGATCTGCCACCACTCTCTTTGGAGGCCTATCTGGGCAGTGCTGCTGACAGATTCTTTGTGCTGGCGACTGATCTTGCATTCTGCTGGTGCAGCAGGGCTTCTGCCGGACTCTGTGGCCAGTCAGCAGGCAGCCCTTGAGAACACGATTGCTTCTTAAATCACACAGCCCTTGTATGTTACACAAAAGGAATGTGAGTCCAAGTGCCAGAAAGTTGTCAGTGTCCCTAAAAAAATAGAAAAACATCTGGAATTCTTCCTACAGAATAATAATAAGTCCAGCATTTGAAGAGAGAATGAGTACCATGCGTCCTCAGCAAGACTGTGTCAGAACTAACACCTCTAAGTCAATTTCTGGTGGACATCCAGTTTATTATGGGACAAAAAATATCCCAGCACACCCTAATGGAAAAGAACCATTGAATCTGCCTGTATGGAGGCATCCCTCTGGGGCACCCAGACCATGTGACCTGCACAAGCCAGAAAACAGTTCCTGGAAGACAGGAGTTGGCAGCCTGCCTTCCAGATGCTTTTGGACTCTATTTCCCATAAACCACAGCCAGTGTAGCTAATTGTCAGAATTATGGGAGTTGAAGTCCAAAACATCTGGCGGGCATCAGGCTGCGGAACAATAACCTCCTGATTGCACATATGCACACACCTTCATCTTACTCATGACTGCAAACCCGGAATTATATCTGGCTATTAAAGCATTTGTTGACGAATCCAGTATAGGGCAGCAATAAAAAGGAGAGGAAGACTTCTGCCAGTGTCCTCCTAAACCGGTTTGAGAAAACAGGCTGGATGCAGCAATAACAGGCTTTGAAAATGGAAGCGTAAGTTCTCAATCCAATTGCCATTAGGATGGAGGAGTGGATGCTTCCAGATAGACGGCTTCTAGTGCTAACAGTTCTTGTCCCCCTTAACAGATTTTGTTCAGGTTAAAAACAGGGATAAGAAGTGGTAGGAAAATAGGGAAGCAGTACAAATTGAAGACAAGATCTGGACCTGCCCATCCAGTTTTGTGTCTGAGACAGAGCAATTCCAGATAGATGCCTTATGTAGAAGCACACTGACTCATTGGCAAAGAAAGTAAAATGGCAACCAGCCTTGTCATCCATTTTCTGGTATAGGAAGACAGAAGTGGACAGCAAATAAATCCCAAGTGGTGGCTTGGCTTTCAACTCCCAGCATTCAAGACCATTGGCCATGCTGGTAAGGGCTTCTGGGAGTTAAAGTCCCAACACCAAGAAAGCTACCTGCTGGCTACCTCTGTGGTAAGGGACGCCATAGAAAAGTAGAAAGGAGCTTGTTAGCATGGGAAATGACTACTGGACTCCTCAAGACAAAGCTCACCTTCACTTCTTTGCTATGTTCTTCCAGCCAGTGAGAAACTGCCTCTCCTGCCTGCACTCTCTGATGAGGCTGCCCCTCCCCAACATCCAGGCCATTTTCTCTCTTGCCTGCATGCTGTGTGATACGGTATCATGTTTTAGCAGACTCCAGCCAGCCTTGGCGTGGCTCGGGCCACATCAGGTGTTTTCCTCACTTGCCCTCAACTCTGCACTTGTGCTCTATTTTTATCCCCCTGACCTTTAAAGACAGGAATGCATATTGTTCAGTGCTAATTCAAGGAAGGAATAAGCAAAGGCCCCGTCTTTGTTCTCCTCTGGTCATGCATAGCTTTCGCAGGAGATCCACCTTTGTTCTCCTCTGGTCATGCATAGCTTTCGCAGGAGATCCACCTTTGTTCTCCTCTGATCATGCATAGTTTTCGCAGGAGATCCACCTTTGTTCTCCTCTGATCATGCATAGCTTTCGCAGGAGATCCACCTTTGTTCTCCTCTGATCATGCATAGCCTTCGCAGGAGATCCACCTTTGTTCTCCTCTGATCATGCATGGCTTTTGCAGGAGAGCAAGCTGCAGATTGCGGGTTCCTTGGAAACCAGCCAGGGCACCCTAGCCAAGCTACCTTGTGCAGCACAGTTGCACAACAGGGTCATTTTAAAGGTTTCTTTGGGGATAAGGAGAAGTAGGGCGTGTGGGACAACCAGGTGTATCAAGCAAGCATTACTGGATGGAAGCATGTGGAGGACATGAACATCAGGGCCTGTTGGAGTCATGTTTCAGAGAAAGGCTGTAACCCTGCACAACTCTGCTTTGTGCCATTTGGACAGTCGCTGCTCAAGTGAGCGAGCGAGCAAGCCTGGATGAGGAACTGCATGAAGCGAAAACCTAGGTTGCTTTTTTTCTTTCTTCATTTAACTGTCAAGCGGCTGGTGGTTGGATGGCGTGAAGGATACAGGCAGAGCATTCTCCCCTGCTGCCCTGCCCTCAGCCCCAAATGATGGACTACCCCTGGCAGTAGCTTAGTGGAAAAAGACATGCTTTGTGTTGAAAGTTCCAGGTTCAGCTCCAGGCATCTCCATGGGCAGCCCCAGTCAACACAGACCAGGAACAGGGAACCCGCACTGCTCTAGAAATTGTTGTACGCCATCACCCATCATTCCTGACCATTGGCAATGCTGTCTGGGGCTGGTGGGAGCTGCAGTAACTTTGGAGGGCCACTGCTTCATCCATCCATGCAGTAACATCAGATGCAGGAAATACAAATCAGTCACAACATCTGGAGCATACAGAGGTGGTCAGGACCTCACACACTGAGGTAGATGGCTCAGTAACTTGATCTAAAACAGTTTCCCACATTCGCTGTCCATCTTTTTGTTTTGTAAGCGAAGGCTTACAAATTTCAAAGCGAAGGCTTTACAGATTTCATCACCCTAAGTGACGCTTTGTTAACCCCATCCCCTCCACAGCCCCTGACATTGTGACAACCTCCGTTTGGGCCTCATGACATCATTTAGAATTGCTGCAGTCAGCAACGGTAGAGGCTAGAGGCTGGCTCCTCGGCGGTGAAGCCACAGTGGGGTTTTTGCCGCCCATGTTCTGCCTTGACTCAGCACAATCAGAGAGCTAAGCGCTCTGTGTAAGAACACCCAGTACTACAAAATGTTTGCTGCCCCACAGCTGCTTGGCTTCATGATCCTGGAGGTTACATGGATACTTCGCTGCTGCTCTGGTTTCACCAGAGGAATGGCAAGGGAGCAAAGAATATCTATCACATGCTGAATCCTACACGGAGGTCTCTGTTGCGACTGACTGGCCTAAATGATCCATCTCAGTCCCACAGGCAGGGAGCATATGGCGCATCAGGTGCCATTCTCAGATAGCTCTGGGGCCACTCAGTTGTCCTTTAGAGAAGGAGCAAAGCAGAGGGCAGGACAGGAAGGGGACACGGAAAGGCTGTTGGCGCCCTCTGAAGGTTTAGGGTATGAACTGCAGGATTGTTTGTTCTAGGAATGACGTGAGAAAAAGGTCTAAGAGTCAGGTGAGCTGAAAAGACACGGACGTGTTTTTTTCATGTTGAGTCTTGCACAAAGAGAGCTCTGTGGCAGAGAGAAGACTGTTCCTGGTCACTTAAGAAGCTCTTGTTTAGTAAGCAGAAGGAAATGTTGCATGTCCTTGAGAGTGCAGGGGGGAGACACGGATCTGGGAGGAGGTGTTAAAAGAAACCATTTGCGATGTCAAGAACCCTTCAAGGCCTCCTTTTGTTCCCTAAACCATGGTGGCAGCCATGTAGCCTATAAACACATCAGTGCTTGCAGATGAAGAAAGCAAAGATGGGTCTTGTGTAGAGAGGCTGAAAAGTATGAAACACAAAGCAACTCAGTAGGAATAGACTGCTGTTCTTCCACATGGACCAATAATCCTGCTTTTCAGTAGAGAGGGGATTTAAAAAGAAAGCAGCTTCATACAGATGTGTGTCCATGCATGAAAGAAGCAACTTACATCTTGATTTCCCATTATGGTATTTAGATACTTCTCGAAGCCCTACAGAAGTCCTTTAAAAAGACATTGTCTAAGCCAGGGGTGGGGACCAGAATGCTGTTCAGCATGGCCAGTGGGCAGGGATGGATAAGAGCTCAGGGCTGTCTTAACAGCATTATGGGCCCCGGGCAAAGCAGTGTCCTGGGGCCCCTACGACCACTACAACTACTGTTAATTTTGGAAGTTTTCCAATTTTCCAAGGGTTAACATGCACAGATTAGTATGGGGCCCACAGGCAAGTGCCCACCAGGCCCATGCGTTAAGGCGGCCCTGTAAGAGCTGCAGTCCAACAACCGCTGGATAACCACAGGGTTCCTACCAGTGGTCTAAGCAATCACTGAGGCAGTGCTAAGCAAAACTGTATTCCAGTCTCAGAAGAGACTTAAGAAAGAGAAACAGTCTTAAGAAAACTGACACTCAAGGCAGTCCAAAGCGCTTTTATGCAGCTGATGGTAGCCCCTGTCCGTCTATACAGCAGAGATGGGGAATTTGTGCTTCTCCGATGCTTGACTACAATTCCTATCAGCCCCAGCCAGCATTACCAATGAGGATAGAAGATGGGGACCAAAAACATCTGGAGGGACACAAGTTTATCATTTGCGTGTGCCGGGTGCCTTCAGCTGGCTGATGTGTGTCAACACCACTCGCCCCTTGTCCTGCTACTTGCTGATCTGAATTCTTTTCAGAGTTTTCTATTTCAGCATGGGATAACCCAGAATACTCAGAGATAGGACCAAGAGGCAGTGAGACCTATGTTGATGATGTAAGTAACTGGTCATGAAAGTGGTATCTTTCAGTATCTCCAAGAGGGATGGCTTCAGCTGAGATTAATTCCATACCAAACTACGAAGTCAATGTGCATCATCAAACTCCATGGATCCAAACTCAGTAACAGAGTTAGCTTTCTTCTTCAAATACAAATAAACCTCCTAAAATCAAGTGGAAGATTGATTTTTTTCCAGTTTAAACAAAATTTGATTAATAGATGGGGAGATGCAGTTGTTTGCTTTTTAAAAACTTTGTAAGCATTTGTTTTTCAAAAAATTGAGAATGTAACATTTGTCTTAATGTATGCAAATACTGTGTGTAAATAGCACAATCAGTTCTGAATTGCTGCTGAAGCAATGTAGACCTGCAGTGTCCACTCCGCACCCTTCACTGTCTCCAGGTTGTTCATTCAGTACAAGTTGTTTGTTATGCAATCCATTTCTTAGTGGCTGTTTTCCATTATGGGATTAATTCAGTTATCAGATATGCCTGATTTCTCAGCTATGTGACCTCCCCTGCCCCCCATGTAGATTACAAAGCAAGCTGAATTAGGGGGTATAATGAAGTTCCTACACTCCCCCAGCAATTTATAGTGCAATCCTATTCAGGTCTATACTTAGAAGTAAGTACCACTTAGTTCAATGGGAGTTACTCCCAGGAATCTGTGTATAGGATTGCATCACTGAATTATTTATCCTCCACTGCCTTTTAGCTTCAAAAGGAGAGGTCTGAGATGCTTACACAGATCTGGACTCTGTTTCACCACAGAATGCTGGAGAAGGCCCAGCTCTTGAGAGATCCCAGAAAGCAGGGTTTGCGGCAGTATTGTAATGAGGGAAATTGTTTGACAGTTTCAAGAGCCTCTGCCTGCACGCAGATGTGTGATCTCTCTTAGTGTTGCTGCCTCCCTGGAGTGTCTCCAAGAAAACAATGCACAAGAGGAAGGCTCTATATTATGCAATATACAGGCATGGTTGGGCAGGCAGCTCCGATCAGTGAAGGAGGTGCTTGAGCACAAAGATGTTGTGTATTAGATATTGCAGGTGTGTCACTTTGAGGCTTCAAGGGCACACCGTGTCTTTGGGCTCAGGAGGCACCTTCATTCAGAACTTCTGTAAGCAAGAGAATGCCTTGGGCTTGCCGTATCTCACCAGATGCTGTTTACTTTAGCACTGTGCCACAACTCTGTATAACAAACTCTGGAATAAACCAGAAGTTAGTCCTCACCAACCTGTTGCTGTGTGTCATTTTGGAACCAGTCTTCCTTCATCATTTCTGCACATGGCCTCCAGGTGTTCATGTACATGCACAGACACTACAGCAGGAGTGGGGAACGTGAGCCCCAAGAGCTTCACCAAAATTTAATTCAGGCCTTGGATTGAGGGAGCCCCCATTCCACCCCTGCACTATAGGAAAGGGAACAACCTCTGAGGACAGAACTCTTGGGTGCAGGCATATCACCACCCTAGGAGGGTGTTAAAAAGTCACAAAGGATTGAACAGACATAAATAGAGCAAAGATGTTTGCATTTGTGCTCAATCCAATTTATTTATTTGGATAAAGGCTTATAGCAGTTAGCAGAAATAATGCCCCAACCGAGAAAAACAGGATGGCCCTTAATTGGATTGGATGCAGAATCTGCCTTTGACGAGAGGAAGGATCTGCTTGCAGAAGGTTTTGCGACTTGATTTATAGTGATTCCTCCTCTTCCCCACATCACACACTGCAGCTCCGCCCATTTAGACGGCTTGCCCCTTTCTGTTTAGCACTCTCAGGGGGCTGGAAAACTGTTGTGGAAAGAAGGAGGCAGCGAATCCATTCCCACTGGTGCACTTGATCCCAAGTTTGTCCCTGGAAGATTAAACCTGGATCAAACTGGTTGTATTAAAACATTATGAAGGAGGAGTCAACCAGCTACCAATGAAGCAAGAAATCTTGCATATCAACATACCTCCTTCATGCAAGGCACATATGGATTGCTTGTAACTAAATAAACCTTTTTAATTTATTTAAAAAACATTACTAATGGAGCCTCACCCTTTTTTATATTTAGGCCCAATCCCCAAAGGCCACTTCAAACAGATAATCCCTTTATGGTGCTCCCAAAAAACTGGCCTCAAACTTTGCAGATCTACTGATGGAGCTGGGACGAAGGAGCATCCCCCACAAATACTTCTGAAACAGATGCCTGGATCTTACTGGGATCATAACAGGGCATGTTAGAGAACGTCATCTCAAAGGCACCCTCCAGATGTAAATCCATGCTGGCTGGTGTTGGTGGGGCTTTTAGGCCCTCAAATCTGGAGGCTGCCACTTTGGGAAAGGGATGTCGGGCCTCAATTGTACAGGTCTACACAGGTCAGGATGAGATCTCAAATTCTGGAGGTAAGAGAAACATTACTAGCTCAGAGGCCTCATTCTCAGTAGACAGAGAGCAGCTAACTGCTAACCTGGAGAGTAGTTGTTTCTTTAAGAGTGTGGAGGGCAGGACAGACTTGGTAGATCCTTTCCTAAGTCTCCTGCCCTCACACTCTTCTAGTTCCTGGTGTAGGGGGCAAAGCCACTGCTTTTCTTCCCACGCGCGAGGGGCCAGGCAGTGGTGGAAGGAAACCCCAGGAATCCATGTGGCAGGAAGCCCATGGTCTTACTCCCTCACAGCAGCTCTGAGATGCAGAAGAGGGTGGAATCTCTGCATTAAAATCTGAGAACCTTTGTAAGTGTATTTCCTCTCCATACTAGCCACAGAAAGAGCAGCCTATCCCCACAACTAAGAATATACCACATACATTCTTAAAACAAATTAAAAATTAAATCAATGAATCCCACTGATTTCTCTCATTTCTACAATTTAAAAAAACACAGAAAGGCTATGAATGAATGGGAGAAAGCATGAAATCCCCCTTTAATTCCCGCTCCATTTTTCTTTCTTTGCCTTTGCATCAGAAACACTGTTTTGCATCACATGCGGACTGAGGTGGGTGCAACTGGGATAGTGGAAAATGCCCTGCTGGAGCCCTTCCAGCCCCCCAAAAAACCTAAAAGGGAACTTTGCTGAACAGGATAGGGCCTGCTGTGTGGGGAGAAGGGAAGGGCCCCAGAAGTTCCAGCAGAGGTACCTTCTGTGAGTAGAGCTGTCGTCACTTGAGAGGTGATGGATTCTCTGGGATCCTAGGGAACAGTTGCAGTGCTGGCAGAGGTAGGCCATGCCCCCTGCCCCAAGGCTCCCCAGCCCCACTTTAGGCCTTTCTGACACTGTTCATCCGCCATGCACATGTGCTGTCATTGAAAATGGCACCCCTAATGGCACTAATGGTAGCTGTGGTCCAAAATATCTGGAGGGCACCAGATTGCCGGCTTCTGCTTTTGGTTAGTCTCTCCAGATCTGCTTTGAAGTCAAGAAAATGAAAGTCCTGGCCGAAGACAATTAGGTCATCCCTTTCATCAGCAATCCACAGTATGGAATGAACACGAAAGTGATAAAGTGTGTCAGAGGACAGTGGTGGTTTTACAGGTCAAGCCATAAAGTAAACATCAGTGTGCCTTACCAGACTCCTTCCAGCGTAACGGTGAGGAAAAATGACCACAAGAGGGCAACCATAACAAAGCAGAACCTCGGGAAAGCATGGCCGTTTCTTGTCTCTTGCTGATGTGTGCGGAGGCTGGGCTTCTGCATGAAGCACAGAAGCCTTTTCCGGCCTGCACCGTCCCATGAGGGGGGCTATACTGGTATGGGGACGTGAGTGCCCACATTAGTCCCAACCGCGGCGGCCCTACAGGTGCTGCTTATCATTTTCTTGTTCTCTAGTTTAGTCGCAAGGTCGGCCCGTACCATCACGACCCCAAGGACAACGTTCCTCCAGGCTCTCTGCTTCTGGTTAGGCTTGCCTAGAGATACAAAGCATGCACTGTTTGGGTGACTTCTGCAGAGTACCTGTGATTCAACGCTCTGGCAAGGCCAGGGTGGTGACTGAGGAAACACGGGGTGCCAGGCATATGGGGATGCTGGTAGCAGGGCTTTCCTATTCACCCACACACCCATTCACACTTCAGCCCTACATGTGAGTGTAGGGCTAGAGGCATGATCTGAAGCAGCTTGCATTCCAGCACCCGTTCTCAGGACAGGTAATGGATCATGTTCTCCATTTTGGGGAGCCAACCGGGAAACAGGTGAGGGGGTTGAGCTGTGCTTCAGTGGTCTTCTTGATGGTAGACTTGTCCTGAATGCTCACACCAATTTTCATCCCAGTGTCTCAGGCATCAGGAAAAATACCACATGACTTTGTATTCTATTTTCTCTCCTCCCTCCATTTGAATAGGTTGGAATGATGGTTCAAGAGGACACTGGAACTTGAAACATAGAATTGTCCTCCTAACATGTGTACCAGCTGTTATTTCACCTCCTTGATGTTCAGTGAATGTACCATGTTAAAGACAAACCGTCCAGCAAGTGAATGTCAAAGCAGGGCCAGGGCCAGCCTCCAGCGCCATGGTGCCAATGGCTTTCCTGCTGGCCCAGCACCAGGTGCATCAGAGGAGATGTCAGAGAGAGGGCCGTAGCTTTTGCTTCACTGATGTTCAGGTAAAGGACTCTGGGAATAGAAGTCATGTTAACAAAGGACCGTTATGATCTGTGTAATTTGGAAGACTGATCCCAGCAATGAGTTTCCTAATTTAAGGTGGCCACTTATGTATCACCGAAAAAAGAAGAAATGCATCACCCAAAGGGAGGACCAGTGATTTGTTTATCATTTAGATGCAAATTTAGAAATAATTGTTATAATCTAAAACTAAATTCTGTACAGCTTCCTATAGTGTAGAAAAATGTGGCCAGGTGACTTGCATGCCTACCTGTCCAGGTGCTACCTGTGAGTAGCCAACAATGCTGGTGGCTGACGTCTTTTAAGCAGAATTGGGCAAGACAGCCTTTCAAGCAGAGGTCATGCAAACAGAGAGGTGTCCTCTGTAAAAGAAGACACTTAGCCACCCCATTTCTTGGATGCAGTTGCTAGAATCTCATCGTTAGCACCTCCAAAGTGAAAGATGTGAGCACGTGCATTTCCCTTTTGCATGCTGTTTGCTTTAGGAAGCCTGGTCATGAAATACCAGCCATGAGCCTTCCCAGACATCTGAATCCAAACAGTGAAAGTAAGCATCAAAGCTTTGAAGGGAGAGCGCAGGTGTATGCAGGTCACATTTCAACAAGGGTTGTCCATGCCTTCCCACATTTCACAGAGATCTTGATGACGGGCCTGAGGATGTGCGAGTGCAGAAGCGGGCGCCCCACAGCTCGGGGGCACATTCCGGGGCGGGTGCACGCCTGGCAGCTTCGATCCTGACTCAAGGCAGAGGCAGGACTTGGGGAAGGCACAGCATGTACATTTGACCCTGGACCTGGCTCAATCTGTCATTTCAGTAGGAGCAGCCAAACACTTTGACAAGGGAAGTAAAAAAATGAGTGGGAAGGAGAGGAAGTGTGGCAGCAAGAGAGAGAAAAGAGGTGCCCTCACTCCCTCTTGGGTTTGGTTTGTGCCTCTGCCAGTTTGTGGCCTCCAAGAAATTACTCCCAGGATAATAAACATAGCAGGTTGCAGCTTATGGCACACAAGCGAGTCTCAATGACATTTTAAAAAGAACAAAGTAGATGAACATCTGGAACCCCTTTGGGAAGAAATCCACAGGGGTAACACAATTCTTCCCCTCCTCTAAATTCCTTCTTCTTGAAATTGCTTTTTTGGTGTGTTTGTGTCTCTCTGTGTGTATATTATTACAGGCATTAGAATATAACATGTGGGTCTACTTTATTTGAGTCCTGTCTCATTGTTTTGAATCCATCTTAAACAGCAAATCAACATTTAACAATACAGAAATTTTCGAAGGTATTAACATAAACACAGAGGCTTCCTCCTTTCCAAGTAATTCTACTTCGTTGTGTCTTTGTCTGCCAAATCATCTTTGTGTGTGTGTTTGCCTATATGGATTGTGCACACACTTATCTGAGGGACTGTGTGAACTTCTATACCTGTGTATTTGTGTGAAGGGGGCAAAATGTCAACCCTATATGCAGGCTTGCCAGCTGACCAGAAAATAAAACTCTGCCCTGCCCCTGTGTCTCTTCATAGTGTTGAGACAAGCACGATCGATCGTTCCTTAAGGCTGGCTGCATATCAACGTGCTGCTCAAGGCACAGATGCTGTGGCCAGCTGAACGGGAGCTGCCCTTCTCGGAT